CCTGGAATATGCGGCTCCAGCATGGAGTCCATATCTAGTCAAGCATAAGACTAAACTGGAAAAGGTTCAAAGGTTTGCCACCAGACTAGTACCCGAGCTGAAAGGTATGAGCTACGAGGAGAGACTACGGGAATTGAACCTCACTTCGTTGGAAGACAGAAGAGTTAGGGGGGACATGATCACCACATTCAAGATTCTCAAGTGACTCGACAGGGTTGATAAAAACAGGTTGTTTAACACAAGGGGCACACGCACTAGGGGACACAGGTAGAAAGTGAGTGCCCAAATGAGCCACAGAGATATTAGAAAGAACTTTTTTAGTGTCAGAGTGGTTGACAAATGAAATGTATTAGGAAGTAATGTAGTGGATGCTGACTCCATACACAGTTTCAAGTGTAGATATGATAGAGCCCAATAGGCTCAGGAACCTGTACACCTGTTGATTGACAGTTGAGAGGCGGGACCAAAGAGCCAGAGCTCAACCCCCGCAAGCACAACTAGGTGAGTACACACACACACACCTGTACTGTGAGACCATTGGTACACCTTCCTACAGCCCAAGTGTAACCTCACACAGGAAGCCCAATAGGCTCAGGAATCTGGGTCAGGACTCAACCAGCAGTGACACGAGTTGTCCTTGTTGTTATAAACAGCCTCCTGGGGCCTCGGAGCCCATAAACTGTTCAATAAACGTAAACAAAGCCGCCAAAGATTGAGAAGAGATGTAGAGGTTCGTAAGTATATGCGTTGCTGCCTGTTCGATTCCCGCCCGTGAACACTAGTCGATTGGTGGTGTTGATTGAGAGGCGACGACGATCGAAGGATCGGATGCTCCCATCCGATCCCTTGTTGAGAGGTAGTTGTTGAGAGGTAGGACCAAAGAGCCGAAGCTCAACTCCCACAAGTATTATTAGGTGACTACAATTAAATGAGTATAGGAGGGTGAGAGAGAGAGTGAGGAGGAGGAAGAGAACGAATTCGAGACAAATTAATAACGAAATCGACAGCTATCTTCTGGAAAACATTGTAGGGACGCTGATGCAACTTCGCTGTAACCTTGCAATAAAATACAAGTAACATCTCCTCCTTATAAACACATTCAAACAGAAATAGTTCATCTTTATCAACAGAAAATGGCCCCTGGTAGCATAAGCAACACATCCACACATCCCTAATGTCATCATTAAGGCAGAGTTGCGCGCCCGGCAGGTGAGGTCATTGGGGCTTGCAGCAGGCCACCTAACACTGAAGTACAGGACAGTTAGCACCCAACAGATTGTGTGTTATAATGTGTGAGTTGTGGTGGCAGGGGGTTGTGGTGGCAGGGGGTTGTGGTGGCAGGGGGTTGTGGTGGCAGGGGGTTGTGGTGGCAGGGGGTTGTGGAATCGTAAGTACAGATGGGCACTGGTGAGCACTACATCCGCCTCTGGTGTGCTCTACACCTGCTTCAGGTGGGCAGTGATGAGCTAGCCAAGGTGTGTGTCAGCCACTGCCGCCAGCACCTCGCTCGGTGCCACCAGCGGTGCCACCAGCGGTGCCACCAGCGGTGATACACATCCTCCAGGGTCAACAACCACGGCCATTCACACCCGCTTCACCCGACAACAAGCTTTAAATGGCCAGGACTGACCGGAGGGAATGAATGGGCTCACTTGTTATGGGGGTTATGGGGCGTGTGTGGGGGGGGGGAGGTTGAGTGAGGGGTGGGAGGGAAGGGGTACTAATGACAACTTGTGTACCTCCTGTCACTGATGACACTCGGTGGAGTCTCCCGTCACAGATGACACCACACCACCCACCTCCCGACACACTGCTCACTGAGATCTTCAATCACCGGTGGCAACCATCCGTACCTGGTACCTCCGGTGGCACTCATCCTTAGGTTGTGCCTCACGTGGCACTCATCCTTACATTGTGCCGCTACTAGAGACAAGTGCCACTAGTAAAGACACGTGCCACTAGCAGAGGCAAGTGGCACTAGCAGAGGCAAGTGGCACTAGCAGAGGCAAGTGGCACTAGCAGAGGCAAGTGGCACTAGCAGAGGCAAGTGGCACTAGCAGAGGCAAGTGGCACTAGCAGAGGCAAGTGGCACTAGCAGAGGCAAGTGGCACTAGCAGAGACGTGCCAATAGTTGAGAAACCATGGCACCTCCGTAGCTGTGCACCAATATTAACTATCCTCCTCCCATGTAGACAGCCAGGGAGCCCACTCCCACATTACCACAATACGACTCCTTCACCATGGCTCTCTGCGAGGTGCTGCCTCCTGGAAAAAGGAACAGTTTGGTATAGGCCAATAGGCCTTCTGCAGTTTGCTTAATTCTTGTGGTCTGGCTATTCCGGGGTGTTTAACGCTGCCAGACACCAACACTACGAAACACTCGAGAGATTTTCCTGGGTTTGACATGACATGAACACGGTGAATTTACTGCTGCTTGGAACATCGATGTGCCTAATGCCGTCACTGTTTTATTATTTGAAGAATATGTTTCCTGGGAGAGGATATCACTAGGCAGCGAGCGAAGGGGTGCGGGGGCCAGCGAGGCGCGCCCCGCAACACCCGTCGGCTCACTCCACACTGAGATGAGGAGCCCAGTACCGCACTAGCACCGCGCCGCGCCACGCCGCCCCGCGGGCTCCACCACACTACTGCCTGAGTCACTCTTCTCACCACCACCTCAACCAACCAGCAGCAGCAGCAGCAGCCAACCTTCGCCACCCGCTAAAATCGTCCACTCCCCGCTCTCTCTCACACCTACCCCACCCCCCCATTACCCCATCCTTCCTTCCCCCGCTCCCTCTCTCACCCCTACAGCCAGTAAATGTATCGTTTAACACAAAGGCATCAACCCAATGTATGAAGGTTCAAGGAAGTTCTTGCGATACATTCTGGCAAGAGAGGCGCGACTTGCTGGCTGGCTCCCCTCCCGTCCCTGGTCTACTGGCACTTGTTGAGTTTTTCTCAGTGGGTTTCGTCTCTTGTCTCCACCCACGCCACCCACCCCCAGCGGCGGCCACCACCGAGGCTTCTTGAAGCAGCGCTTCCATCAACGCGGCCAACAACATTACGGAAGTGATAAATACTTCGGAAAGAAAGAAATTTGTCCACGCGATTCGATTGAGGAGAAACGCAGCGCAACATAACTCCCGTTGAGGCATTTCCATACTCGTGTGATTCTTCCACGGGGATCACGGCCGCGGAGGGACTCGGGGAACACATGTCCCGCTCCTGTTGCTGCTACTTCCTCAATCCTCTAAATCCCAGGGAACACTCGCATGATCTGCTGGTCGTGGTGATGCTGCTACTGCTGCTACTGCGGCATTCACCTGTGTCCGCCTTTCCAATAAAACACGGAACACACCAAGGATCTTTGTTACTTCCGGGAGACGCTGTCCCCTCCACCCCAACCCGCCCTCGGTGGCCAGGAACATATAAAATATATGTAACTATTGTTACTGCTCCTTCCTCAAAATTCCTTTTCCGAGTCACGACAACTGAGAATATAACCTCCCTGTTGCCTATTCACCTCAACATCATCCCCCTCCCCCACCCCCAAGCATTACATCAACTCGCTAGGCCATCCGCCAGCAGCAGCTGAACTTGATCCATCAGTCACAACAAAAGGTGTGGGTGACAAATCTTTATGATGATGATGATGATGATGATGATGATGATGATGATGATGATGATGATGATGATGATGATGATGATGATGATGATGATGAAGATGAAAATTAAGCCACCCAAAAGGTGGCACGGGCATGAATAGCCCGTAAGTGGTGGCCCTTTTGAGCCATCACCAGTATCAAGAGCTGATACTGGAGATCTGTGGAGGTGCGACTGCACCCTGCGTGACGGGACATGTCTCCCGTGAATCCCGTCCTGCAAGCGAGGCAGGACGACCTCCTCTAACACTACCAGTCGTCCTAACACCGCCTAACACGCGCCTTCTAACAACCTCATCACGGAGCCAGCGACGGGTATCACCAGGTAACGTTCCGTGACTGGTGTCTACAACAAATTGCCAGCAGTTTCGGTCCTTCGTCTAATTACCCTTCACACGAACCACTCCCGCGCGCACTCCATCGCTCCTCATTACAACTCTTCCCAGGAAGAACATGAAAGCAAAAAATATTTATCTCTGTTTCGGAGACATCTCACAGGTGTGCTTGAAGACATCTCACAGGTGTGCTTGGAGACATCTCACAGGTGTGCTTGGAGACATCTCACAGGTGTGCTTGGAGACATCTCACAGGTGTGCTTGGAGACATCTCACAGGTGTGCTTCGAGACATCTCACAGGTGTGCTTGGAGACATCTCACAGGTGTGCTTCGAGACATCTCACAGGTGTGCTTCGAGACATCTCACAGGTGTGCTTGGAGACATCTCACAGGTGTGCTTCGAGACATCTCACAGGTGTGCTTCGAGACATCTCACAGGTGTGCTTCGAGACATCTCACAGGTGTGCTTCGAGACATCTCACAGGTGTGCTTCGAGACATCTCACAGGTGTGCTTCGAGACATCTCACAGGTGTGCTTCGAGACATCTCACAGGTGTGCTTCGAGACATCTCACAGGTGTGCTTCGAGACATCTCACAGGTGTGCTTCGAGACATCTCACAGGTGTGCTTCGAGACATCTCACAGGTGTGCTTCGAGACATCTCACAGGTGTGCTTCGAGACATCTCACAGTGTGCTTCGAGACATCTCACAGGTGTGCTTCGAGACATCTCACAGGTGTGCTTCGAGACATCTCACAGGTGTGCTTCGAGACATCTCACAGGTGTGCTTCGAGACATCTCACAGGTGTGCTTCGAGACATCTCACAGGTGTGCTTCGAGACATCTCACAGGTGTGCTTCGAGACATCTCACAGGTGTGCTTCGAGACATCTCACAGGTGTGCTTCGAGACATCTCACAGGTGTGCTTCGAGACATCTCACAGGTGTGCTTCGAGACATCTCACAGGTGTGCTTCGAGACATCTCACAGGTGTGCTACCATGAAAGCCCCCCCCCAAAAAAAAAATAACAAAAGAAACAAAACAATTATTTCAAACAACAAAACCATAGATACGTGGGCCAGTCACAACAGTGGGCCCAGACACAACAGTGGGCCAGACACAACAGTGGGCCCAGACACAACAGTGGGCCCAGACACAACAGTGGGCCCAGTCACAACAGTGGGCCCAGTCACAACAGTGGGCCCAGTCACAACAGTGGGCCCAGACACAACAGTGGGCCCAGTCACAACAGTGGGCCCAGTCACAACAGTGGGCCCAGACACAACAGTGGACCAAACACAACAGTGGGTCCAGTCACAACAGTGGGCCCAGTCACAACAGTGGGCCCAGTCACAACAGTGGGCCCAGTCACAACAGTGGGCCCAGTCACAACAGTGGGCCCAGACACAACAGTGGGCCCAGTCACAACAGTGGGCCCAGTCACAACAGTGGGCCCAGACACAACAGTGGGCCCAGACACAACAGTGGGCCCAGACACAACAGTGGGCCAGACACAACAGTGGGCCCAGACACAACAGTGGGCCCAGACACAACAGTGGGCCCAGACACAACAGTGGGCCCAGACACAACAGTGGACCAAACACAACAGTGGTCCAGTCACAACAGTGGGCCCAGTCACAACAGTGGGCCCAGTCACAACAGTGGGCCCAGTCACAACAGTGGACCAAACACAACAGTGGGCCCAGACACAACAGTGGGCCCAGTCACAACAGTGGGCCCAGACACAACAGTGGACCAAACACAACAGTGGACCAAACACAACAGTGGGTCCAGTCACAACAGTGGACCAACACAACAGTGGGCCCAGACACAACAGTGGGCCCAGACACAACAGTGGGCCCAGACACAACAGTGGGCCCAGACACAACAGTGGACCAAACACAACAGTGGGTCCAGTCACAACAGTGGGCCCAGTCACAACAGTGGGCCCAGTCACAACAGTGGACCAAACACAACAGTGGGCCCAGACACAACAGTGGGCCCAGACACAACAGTGGGCCCAGTCACAACAGTGGGCCCAGACACAACAGTGGACCAAACACAACAGTGGACCAAACACAACAGTGGGTCCAGTCACAACAGTGGGCCCAGTCACAACAGTGGACCAAACACAACAGTGGGCCCAGACACAACAGTGGGCCCAGTCACAACAGTGGCCCAGACACAACAGTGGGCCCAGACACAACAGTGGGCCCAGACACAACAGTGGGCCCAGTTACAACAGTGGGCCCAGACACAACAATGACCCCAGACACAACACCCAACCAGACACAACAATGACCCCAGACACAACAATAACCCCAGACACAACAATGACCCCAGACACAACAATGACCCCCAGACACAACAATGACCCCAGACACAACAATGACCCCAGACACAACAATGACCCCAGACACAACAATGACCCCCAGACACAACAATGACCCCCAGACACAACAATGACCCCCAGACACAACAATGACCCCCAGACACAACAATGACCCCCAGACACAACAATGACCCCAGACACAACACCCAACCAGACACAACAATGACCCCAGACACAACAATGACCCCAGACACAACACCCAACCAGACACAACAATGACCCCAGACACAACAATGACCCCAGACACAACAATGACCCCAGACACAACAATGACCCCAGACACAACAATGACCCCCAGACACAACAATGACCCCAGACACAACAATGACCCCAGACACAAGAGCAAGACTCTGTAACACGAGGCGGTGCAGGAGAGCCCTGGCCAAAGACGACCAAGGCTGTGTTCCGTGCAGGTTGGGAATCGATCCTGGGGTGCCCGAGTTAGTATCGACCCACCGACTGTGCCGCCAGGGAGGAACACGAGGGGACCAGAAGGAGGGGGGGGGGGAGATTTAATTTGTGCACCGACCCCCCTGCCCCCCTACACATGCCCCCCCCCCTTACACAACTGGGATGAGACACACACACACGTTACTGGGTGACGTGTGAGGGGAAGGAAGGAGAGGGAAATGTTCTTGAGAAGAAGCTAGGAGACCAGGTAGAAAAAATTAAGTAAGGAATATAGACAATGCAGGGAGGCGGGGGTGGGGGGGGAAGGGACATGCTGGAAGAGGTATATGGAAGGGGCTGAGGGGGGGGGGCAGGGTTCTTGAGATAATTTCGGGGCTTAGCGCCCCCCCGCGGCCCGGTCCTCGACCAGGCCTCCTTTTTGTTACACCCCCCCCCCCAGGAAGCAGCCCGTAGCATCTGTCTAACTGCCCAGGTACATATTTACTGCTAGGTGAACAGGTGCATCAGGGTGAAAGAAACTTTTGCTCATTTGTCTCCGCCTCCACCGGGGATCGAACCCGGAAAATCAGGCCTACGAATCCCTCCCCCTCCATCCTCACCCTCCCGAGGCGGGGATCTTCATTATGCGCGACATTCACCGGAGGAAATACTCATTATACATTATACTGATCAAAACTAATCCTCACAACAAACTACCTCCTCGAGTCTCAAGTGAGGAGCTTCACTACCGCTGACCCCACAACCCTGAGTGTCAGGGAGCACCAGTCCTGGCGGGGCAGGTGTGGGCACCCAGGGTCTCCAGGCCTACCCACACTTCTTGTTTTTTTGGGGGGAGGGGGCAGAAATAAAAAGAAAGAAAGAAAGAAAGAAAGAAAGAAAGAAAGAGAAAGAAAGAAAGAAAGAAAGAAAGAAAGAAAGAAAGAAAGAGAGAAAGAGAGAAGAAAGAGAGAGAAAGAGAGAGAGAGAGAGAGAGAGAGAGAGAGAGAGAGAGAGAGAGAGAGAGAGAGAGAGAGAGAGACAAAGAGAGATAGAAAGAGAGAGAGATAGAAAGAGAGAGAGAGAGAAAGAGAGAGAGAAGAGAGAGAGAGAGAGAGAGAGAGAGAGAGAGAGAGAGAGAGAGAGAGAGAGAGAGAGAGAGAGAAAGAGCGAGAGAGATTATATATATTTAAAACAAAGTAAGACTCACATTACGGTACTTATCAGTAATAGCGACTTTACAAAAGTGACCGCCATCTGTGTCTCCTCTGACAGTTCCTCTCACTCATCAGGAATCATGTCACGTGTGACTGTAAACTGCAATCTAGTAGGTGACTGACAGAGCTCCGGCTGACACCCGATGTCATGGGTCTCAATTTGCATTTAAACGCCCCAGCAATAATCTGCAGGTGAGCGCAATTTGCATAAGCTTCAATATGTGACGAGCGCAGGGGCTAGGAGCGCAGGGGCTAGGAGCGCAGGGGTGAGAAA